GGCCATCGCTCGCCTTTGCTTCGGAGGGTTTGGAATTTTTGACAGGGTGTGAATTGATAACCTCGCTGCTGTTTTCAATTTTCCCACGAATTGCTCCCACGCTTCCGAAGTTGAAAGTGACGGGTCTTCAACGTTAATAGACACCTTGGTCAGTTGCTCTTGGTATTTTTTCCTCAGATTACCATCTTGCAGTAATTTTACGTCCCAAACTTACTTACTTTTACTTAAGGGTCCTGTGCACCACCAGCGGTGCAAAGGGCCAACGTGAGAGACTTCCATCCTGGGTGGCTGCTCGCTTTTGCCTTGACCTGGGCCCAGGTCAGATTCCTATCGACTTGCTTAATTTCCTTATTGAGGCTCCGCCACCATAAGCTCCTGGGTCTGCCTCTGCTGCGATGTCCTGCCGGATTCAAATCCAGCGCTTGCTTGCAGATATTTTGTTTCCACCCCGTCGAAGTGTGTGGCCGACCCACCTCTACTTTCGCTCTCGAATTTCTGTTGCTATCGGCTTCTGATGACATCGACGATCGAGCTCGGCATTCGAGATCCAGTTGTGAGGCCACCAGGCACAAATTATATACTGCAGGCATCGGTTGATGAAGACCTGCAGCTTCTGAGTGTTCTCCACTGATACACACCACGTCTCGCTGGCGTATAACAACACAGATATCACGTTCGAGTTGAAAATTCGGATTTTGGTGCGTTGACTTATCTGGTTGGATCTCCATAAGTTTCGTAAACTCGCAAAGGCAGCCCTAGCCTTCTTGATTCGTGCACCTATGTCGCTCTTGGTCCCACCGTCCGACGCTTCTTGGCTGCCAAGATATTGGAAACTTTCGACCTTCTCCACTGCTTGCCCCGCTGTAAAGTTGGAAGGGTTGCCCGTGTTGATATCCAACGATTTGGTCTTTTTGACGTTGATGGTGAGACCCGCCGCAGAGGAGCGTTCGGCTAAGTCATTGAGCTTACTCTGCATATCAGAGCGCCGTTGTGCTAGTAGAGCAACATTATCAGCCAAATCGAAGTCGTTGAGATGCTCCATGGTGATAGGCTGCCAAAGCAGCCCACGGTTCGGTACACGGTCAATTGCACCTACCATGATCTCGTCGATTACGATGAGAAACAGCAGCGGTGATAGTATACATCCTTGTCTCACACCAGCGACTACCCGGATAGGGTCGGACAAGGCTCCGTTATGCAGAACTCTGCACGTGAAAGCCTCATACTGCGCTTCGATGAGGTTGACGATTTTATCCGGGACTCCCTTGCGTCTCAGGGCGCCCCACAGATTCTCGTGATTGAGAAAGCTTTTTCGTAGTCAATGAATACCAAATAAAAGGACTCTTGGAATTCATTGACCTGCTCCAGGATGATGCGGAGCGTGACAATATGGTCCACACAAGATCTTCCGGCACGGAATCCTGCCTGCTGCCGTCGGAGAGTCGCGTCGATCTTCTCCTGTATCCGATTCAGGATAACTTTGCACAGAACTTTGAGAACAATACACAGTAACATGATGCCTCGCCAATTGTCGCACACAGTCAGATCCCCCTCTTTGGGACCTTCACTAAGATGCCCTGCATCCAGTGGGCCGGAAAAGTTGCGGTGTCCCAGATATTACAGAATAGTTGATGCAACATTTATGCGGATAGCATGGGGTCAGCTTTGAGCATCTCTGCTGATATGCGATCGACCCCTGGAGCCTTGTTGGATTTCATGCTTCGGATAGCTGCTTCAATCTCCTGCAGCGATGGGGCCTCGGAATTGCCACGAGTGATGCGCCGCACCCTAGGCGGATCATGCCGAGATGTTGATGGCTGGTTGGCCGTCGAAACTTGAAGAAGTTGTTCGAAGTGCTCAAACCAGCGTTTCAGCTGGTCAGTGGGGTCGGTAAGCAATTGTCCAGTCGTGTCCTTCACTGGCATCCTCGGGTTCATCCTTGCTCCACTCAGGCGTCGTGAGATATCGTAGAGGAGGCGTATATCGCCAGTGTTTGCGGCTTTCTCCCCTTCGTCGGCCAGGGAGTTCACCCACGCTTGCTTGTCACGTCTGTAATGGCGCTTGACTTCCTTCTCTAGAGCCGAGTACCGTTGACGGGCTTCGTTCGTGGCTCCTCTGGTTCTCGCCCACTTTATCGCGGCTTATGCTTCTCTACGCTCCTCAATCTTCCGCCAGGTTCCATCTGTGATCCACTCTTTCCTCTGGGTGCACAGCTCACCCAAGTTGTTCTCGCTTGTTTCTATAAAGGCATTCTTGATCGGATTTCACCGATTATAAGGTGATGGTCAGACGCGATGTCGGCGCTGCGTTTATTCCGTTTATACGTCCCAAACGCCTAAAGTATTCGTAGAATCCTCTCTTCCGAACAAATTCTATACTACATAAACTCAAAAGCGTTTGACAAGCTCTACCGAATTGAGTATCACTTCTGCGTAAGCTCCGTAGACGTACGAAACATCTAAATTACGTAAGATACGAAAATCGCGCAAATTACCAACGCCGCGCGAGGCAACCTTAGAGAAGTTAAAAAAAAGAAGTTAAACATGCATCGATGCGTCAATACCACATAAGAAAAGATCGATTTTACAGTCACGTAGGGTTGAGTTCATAGATTAACATTGACTGCTTTTTACAAATGTAAGTACTTGAACACTAAGAAATAATTTAACTCAAATGCTTTAACAGCACATATCAGAGATTTCGCGTATTGAGAGAATAATATAGTTATCGAGTACAATAAACTCAGGGGAAAGCAATACCTACAAAAGATTGAAAGTTATCAATTGTCACATACCTCTACTTTTACTTATTTCCTAAACTATTTCTCTCCTAATTCTTTGTTAATATACCTAATGTTTTTAGACTTTCTGAATTTTCTTATTTAAGTGCGTTTGATGATTATGATATCTCATTAGTCTAATTTAATAAAAAGTTGAAATCTCTAATTCACGTAATCAATCATAACCAATGCTGTATTAAGTACCTGCACTTGTGCTTTTAATCTAAAATTAAACGTGTTTCAAGTGCTTTTGATTTTGATCATACCTATCTATTATATCTTTGTTCGACCCAAATGACACCTTCAAGTGACTGAAATGCTTCACTTTGAAGTTAGTTTCCTAGCTGATTTTTAAATTATCTAGGGTATATGCTCCAACTATGCTCACACGCTTCCACTATGTTGCACCAGAAAAATACGTATGAGTATGTCACAATAGAAGCACGCCACAGTGGAAATCCCGAGCCATAGTTCAAACACTTAAAAATGAAGCACATATAAGATTAGTTACAATACCATGTACAAAAATGGTGTTTAACATTGTTCCCTGAGTAATACCTCAATGAAAACAACAATGGAAGCTTGTCACGCAAGTAGAAGGAGCACTGTTGGGCACTTTCTGAAATATTTCAATAGTATAATTCCCTTGCAAACCCAAATACATCTATCTGCGTAAAAAATAATAATAAGAGTGATTTGCGGCAAAACCTGCCAGTATCGCACCCAACGTCAGTGCCTATACGTAAGCGTACTACGACGCGGCTCTCAAACAAAGGAGTAACAAGTGTGATACTATCACTGCTGGACTAGATCTTTGGTTCTCTCATGCAGTGGTTTATCAGAGAGGGGAAGCTTAGTAATCCCCATTGCCTGCCCATGGCGCCATTCTATCGCGGCATGAGCCGGCCCTAAACCTACCGTCTCCAAAATTCCCCTATAAAGCATGAAATTAGGCCCACCCACCAACAGCAAGGTGCAAAAACTAGCCAAGGGAAGGGAAATTGAGCTTCATTAGATTCTGAGATGATTTTGAGCTTCATTGTTTTAGTTTTGTGTGAAAAGGGCAAATTAAAAAAAATCTCTCCAGACATGAAAAAGTTTTTGTTTGAAAACAATTTTTTTTTAAAGTGCCCATATCGCGACGTATGGACGGTTGGTAGTAAACATAATTACCTATCTTGAGACAAAGTTTCATTCAGGGTTGCTTCTACTCACTTGCTATAAAACAATATTTTTTGGAGTTATGCAATCATTAGATGTTAAAATGATATGTTGTACTAATAAGTAATAAGAAGAGGGTTTAAGGTATGTGTTTGACTCATAAACCCTGTCAATTTCGCTTTCAGAGCGTCACAATAAGCGATCTTATGATTCGTGAGCGTTCACTCAGAGTGAGCGCTCATGAGTCGTAAAATCGCTGATTGTGACGCACTGAAAGCAATATTGACAGATTTTATGTGTCAAACATATACTTCATGACCTGTTCTTGTAACTTACAAGTACTAATTAGCATTATACTATTTCATGATTTCATAATTCCGAAAAAACATTTTTTTATAGCAAGTGAGTGGAAGTAACCCTGGTTTCATCCAAATCAAACATGGCTATTTTTCTTAAATCGACATCAAATTTTAAAAAAATCGATTTTTTTTTTTTCTCAATGCAGTTCTCAAATGTAAAAACTGAGTATGCAAAAGTGCTTATTTTGTCAAGGTCCACACATCCAGAAAGTTTCATTGAAATCTGAGAGGGCGCTGCCAGCTCCGAATACGATTTGGCGCGAAATACGTCTAATGGAGACATTCCAGCTTGTAAAATTTCAAAACGCTCTTTGCCGTTTTCCATAAAGTTGTTCTGCATAGTTTTCACAATCGATGTCTCAGGTATGGGCAAAATTGAGTACGGTGTGATTTTTTTGTAAATCAAATAATATTTTCTTTTCCTTTTTCATACTAACTTTAAAATTATCCGTGAATCCAGATCCAAAAGAAAATTACGAACCTCAATCCAAACCAAATGAGCAGTGGGAAGCAGAAGGTTGTCACGTTGACCCACTCTAGAATATTAAGCATTGTGTCCATACTGCATTGTAACCGATACCTTTTATTCTAGTACAAGTAACCATTAATTATGCTGTCAGGCTCTTACGCCTGCTATTGTTCAAAGTGTTTTCAATCATTCAAACCGCTCATTGTTTTCCATGTTTCTTCCCCTTTTTCAGATAACGGTAATCGTGTGGCACGTAAAATTGTATTTGAACTCCAGCTGAACCGGCTTCCCACGGACCTTCAACCCTCTCATTATCATAAACAAGAACAAAACAAAAGCTCCGGCCATCAAACCAGCCATCAGAACAAGGCCCAAACGATAGACAAAACAAAAAGGAAGAACAAACATATCCATCGACCATCGTGAGTACAACGTATCACACGGAAATTACCACTCATCTATCCGTCGCATCGACTGCTGTCACTCGTCAAAACGCTTCACCATAGTTGGGGGTGGAAAACGCGAAAAACTATGCGTGCCACCCTGCGGCCCTGACTGCAGTGAAATGGGAAAACTGACACGGGAAAAACTCCGAGGTGATAATTGATTTCCGAGCGCGAAAGAGGCTCTGGAACGACGAGACAACGTTCACTGTTTGTTTCATCCACAATCGAGCCTCGTCAGCCGTTTAATAATTAGCACCCACCCAGAGTTTCCCCGAGAGTGGATAATAAACATAAAAAGTAAATATTATTATCACGAGTGCTACTGCTGGTGGGACGAGCGGGGATTGTTTACCGGTCGATGAAATGATATTGGTAATTTTCTGATATTTATTCCGCGCGTGGTGGGGGTGCGAATCGGTGCGTAATAGGGCTCCTATCGGGAAATAAATCGAAAAATAAAAAACAACTCCCACATTGAAAGGACCACGTGCAGAAATAATTGCTAGTGAAAACAAATGTGTGCAATGTGAGTGAAACATAAAAAAAATCAACTTATCATTCCGTGATTTCGGGGAAATGCGAGTGATGTTGAAGTATACAAAGTGGTGGCTTTCGGTCCTGGGAAAATAATGATCCAGAGCTGGTACTGAGCTGATTAATTAAAATAAATTAATAATCGGGAAAATATCGTTATAAATTTCCGCGAATTGCGTTGTGGGCGTCTGCACCGTGCTGCTCTGCCTGGGTGGGGCGGAAGTGTGAGCCCGAGCGAAGAAGGGTTTTGGGCACGTTGTCCCGGGGAAGTGTGATGGTGCCAGTGACTAGAAGTAGCAGAATGGAGATCCGGAAAAACGTCCCGGCACCGGTGCTGCTGCTGCTGGTGATGACGGCGGTGCTTCTCGGTGGCACCGGAAGGATCCACGTGCGAGGCGAGGCGTTCAAATCAGGTAGGTCTAGGGTGGGATTGGGGCAGGAAACAAAAGGGGGGGTGACGAGATTGTTTACTGTTCTAATGACACACACACAGACTCAGTACTCTGTAGAGGTTGGCAAAATGGCTCATATTTAGCTCAGTAAGGTGATCCGGTTCTTTGGAAAATTCTTGCAGCTGGTTTTGAATTTAATGATATATTTATGCAGTAAAAAAATCGCAAATGAATTCTGGAGATTAAGTTACGTAATAGAAAAAAAACGCTATAACTTTCCATGGTAGTTTGCACTGGCTTGCACTGGGTGGGGCAAGGGGGGTAATTTTGCGATTTTTGCAATCTGAAATGATGCGTCGAAAAAAAACTACATTTGAATTTTTAGAAAATGCATCAAAGTAAATTGAACCTTAAAGCGAAAGATTCAATAGAAAGTTTATGACCAAACCCACAGTATTAGTCAGGGTCTCTAATAACTGCAAACACCTGGAAAACCGGGAATCCTCAGGAAACTTTATTTTTCCTGAAAATACCTGGAAGGCTCAGGGAATCTAATAATTTAATTACTAACGATATTTTAAAGAAAAAGATTAATTTTAAAATTAGAGCATTTAATTTTTCTCGATATTTTTATTCACACTTTGATTATTATAGATAGAGTGGATAAGTCTTCAATAACAAACAAATTTAAAAAAAAAACACAAAACGAGACTTGACATGTTTATTTTTTTTTTGAATATGCATATTTCCTAGACATTTTGAATTAGAACTAGTTCTGGACTAAAAGCGAAAATACTTTAAAAAAATTTGAGTCAAATTTCATGCACAGCTTTAACAGCTCGTGGATTTTTTTTTAAATTTCTTAGGATCTCATTTCGATGATGTTCTAAAAATTCTTTCAGAAAAACATCAAATACAATCTGATTTCAAGGTAGTTCTGAGGAATTTAAGATTGCTAGTGAAGCCTGATAGTTATGAGTAGAATTTAAAGAAACCCTGAATTGAATTTAAAGCAAATTTTAATGAAAACTCTTAGTAATTTCTGAGGATCAATTCCTTCAGAGGAAAATTCCAAGGGTCTTCTGAGAATAATTTCATAAAGTTTGTGGGAGAAAACGAATCCGAGGCATAAATCCTTGGAATCTTTTTGAAAACACTGAAAGAAGGATTACAATTAAATCTGAGAATAACTCCAGACCATATTCAAAGGAATTCGAAAATAAATTCAGGACAGTTTGCCAAACAAATTATGAGAAGAAATCCAAAAAAGTAGAAGGGTCTGTGCCTAGGGGCACGAACGGAAGCTTGACGTAGGACCGCTAGTGGACGGAATAAATGTGAAGAGCATTTAGTTCTTTTAATTGATCAATTATCTATTATCTCAGCTCTTTCCGTTTTTGAATTGTAGGCGTACCAAATTTGAAGTCATTTTTTTCAAAGAGAATGTTGATTAAGAGAATCAATCAAAATCACTTGTAACCCTGCTTCCAAGTTTGGTTACAAGATTACAACTCTGGAGAGCATTTTGTGTGGTCGTTGGGGGCTTGTGGTTCTGAATATCTACAAACAAGCACAGATAAATTCTATTACAACTCTTTACTGATGTAAGCTTGATGGCCCTGAAAAGGGCCGTTTTATTGAAGAGGACATCCATGGCCACTTACGCTTGGCGTGTTTAGTGTAGGTGACAGCATCAAGGACCTCATTTTCCAGGAACACCTTCAGCACACCTCGTAGATCAGACCGGAGATACGTTTGACACCACCACGGCGAGCCAGACGACGGATGGCGGTTATCTCGAAGAACTTTGCGATGACGCTTGGCGCCTCTTTAACCAAGAACTTTTCCTCCTTTGCCACGACCAGTCAATTGTTGCTTGTTCCTACTGCTGCTATTGCTGTTCACCACGCCGTCTGAAGCGAAAATGAGCTAATGCCTTTTTTTTTTTTGCCCTTTAAATGATCTTTATTTCTTGTGATTGTGTGGTTTACATGTATGAATTTGTTAAGTGACACAGATGCGTCTTTTCAACTTTAGTACATTTGAGATTTTAATTATTATTTACAGTTCCTAGTCCTATCAGGCCTATTTTAAAGTATGACCACCTTGGTGGGATTGGTTTGATTTGAATTGGAAAAATGAGACTACTTATAACTACTATTTACAACTACAACTAACCTACAACTACTATGTACACCTAACCTACTATATACAAATTGCTTATCAAAGCATGTTCTGATAAATTACATTTTTGTGCAAATTTAGTCTTAATTTCGTTAATTTTGGAATCTATTTTGGCAATGCCTGCCTCTTCATGTAAATTTGTTATTCTAGTGTCGAAAGGACGATCAAGAACCATCCTCAGCACTCTATTCTGAGCTACCTGAATTTTGTTCCTGTGAGTCTGTGCACATGATTCCCACACCGGAGCTGCGTAGAGGATCGCAGGTGCTATGATTTGTTTGTAGACGGCCAGTTTGTTCACCCTTGAGAGGCGGGATCTGCGGCAAATCAGCGGATACAGACACCTAACCAAGGCGGAACATTTGACTACGGTTTTCTCCACATGCGAGCGGAATAGGAGCTTTTCGTCAAACAACATCCCGAGATAGGTTACTTCGGCGGACCACTCAACCCTTGTGCCATCCATGATTACAGTACAAGAGGGAGCCGGTTTTAGTTTGGGTGATTGTCGATGGAGGAACATGATTGTTTGTGTTTTGGAAGCATTGATTTTGATTTTCCACGTGGTGGCATAATCAGCAAAGGCGTTAAGGCATCGTTGAAGTTTGTTCGTTATTTCGCGAGGCATCCTTCCTTTGACGGCTATTGCGGTATCATCTGCGAACAGGAAAAACACACAACCGTCTCCAAGGGGAGGAATGTCGGAAGTGTAAATGCTGTAGAGCAAGGGGCCCAGCAGACTGCCTTGCGGGACTCCTGCAGGGATGGAAAACGTGTCTGAAAGACAACCATTCAACGATACCTTAAACGACCTTTGCTGGAGGTAGCTACGGGTGATTTTAACCAGATGTAATGGAAAGTTGAAGTTACAGAGCTTGTATACAAGCCCATTGTGCCAGACATTATCAAACGCTTTCTCAACGTCTAACAATGCCATGGCTGTGGACTTGGATACAGCTTTGTTACTTCGGATGTTATTCATCACCCGCACTAGCTGGTGATTGGTGGAGTGCCCCTTTCTGAATCCAAACTGTTCTGGAAGGAGAATGTTATTTTCCTCCACAAACTTGAGCAAACGATTGAGAATGAGTTTCTCGAACAATTTGCTCAGCGCTGAAAGGAGGCTGATTGGTCTGTAGCTTGAAGCTAGCGTTGGGTCCTTCCCGGGTTTGCGGATAGGTATGATTTTCGCTGTCTTCCAGATGCTTGGAAAGTAGTGCAGTTCCAAGCATCTGTTGAAGACAGCAGCCAGCAGAGAGTGAACCTTCATTCTGAGATTTTTCAACACTAGGTTGAATATTCCGTCAAACCCGGGGGCCTTCATGTTTTTGGTGCATTTCAGCGCTGAGCAAATCTGTTCAACTGTGATTCTATCCTCCGGAGGGATGGCACAAGGAGAGGAATCAAGGTTGAGTACGCATTGCTCAACCTGAACTTCGAGCGGACTTTGGATGTTGGAGCCAAGCAAGTGCGATTTGGCAATATGCTCACCAATCGCATTTGCTTTCTCATGAGGGGTGATTATGAGCCGATCGTCATCATTTTCATCTTTTAGTGGCGGAATGGGTTTAGGGTGCGTCTTTAAGACCTTGGCAACTTTCCAGAATGGTCTGGAGCGGTCGTCCAGATTCTGGACAAGCCGCCCGAAACTTTCGTTCCGGAGTGAGACCATTCTGGAAGCAATCTCCTTGTTCAGATCGGCCATTTCACGTTTCATCGCTTGATCTCCAGTCCTCTGAAACTGGCGTCTACGAACATTTCTCAGGCGAATTAAGAGTTGGGTGTGGGAATCAATAGCAATAAACTTACCCCTCACAGGAACTCGTCGGATGCACGACTCGTCAGCCACGGTTATGGCTTGGTGGAGTCCCTCCAACGCTCGGTCGATGTCCTCCACGGTGTCAAGCGGCGGGTTGTCGATGATGTGCCTGTCTACCACGCGTCCAAACTGGGCCCAGTTTACGCGATGGTAGTCCTTGCGCAGGCTTGAAGCAGGAGCCACGTTGCAGCCCAGCTCAGACACCACCGGTTGGTGGTCGGAACTGAGTTCGTTCAAGGCTACCGGCTTGGACAAGCCGATATTTGTCAGGAACAGGTCTAGCGTCGATGGGTTGCCCGCCGGTGAGATAAATGTTGGCTCATCCGAAAACCAAACGGAGTACAGCCCATGCTGTGAGTGGTCGAACAGGAGACGACCGTTCTGGTTCTGCTGGTAGTTCCGCCAGGCCTCATGGCGAGCATTCAGATCTCCTCCAACTACGAAGCGGGAACCGGTACGGGTGATGGTGGACAGGTCCTTCTTGAATTTAGCCGCTAGTCCACTGCTGGCGGCACACTGTCGAGGGCAGTAGACGGCGATGAACTGGACGTATCCAGTCGACACTCCACCTCCACACCAAGGGCCTCGATGATAGTGGTGCGGATATGGGACAGAGTGTGGTATTTTATTCCTTTCTTGACGACGACCGCAACACCACCCTCCCTGGAGCTGGTGCGATCAAGCCGGATAATGTTGTGGTCAGGCAACCAGAAGCTGTCACCGGACTTTAGATGGGTCTCGGTTAGAAGGCCCACGTCGATGCTGTGCTTGCGGAGGAAGTCGGCAAGCTCAATCTCTTTTGCTCTTACAGAGCAAGCATTCCAGGTGACGATACTTAGCGGTTTAGACGCCATACTGGATGATGAACTTACCGAGCACTTGGATCTGTTCGGGCTTATTGCGGCACTTACGAAGAGCACCGGACATGTTGACGAAGATTTCCATCAGTTCATCCGCTGAGAACAGATCGGGGTTGTTGTTTTGCGCTGTTGGTTGTCTCCAGAATCCAGGGGGGGAT